CCCTCCCCACCAATCCGCCCGCCCTTTGTCCCCCGCGGCCGCCGCCCGAGCCGCAGCCGACTAAGCCGCTTTCTCTGTCTCGCTCGTTTCCCCCGCCCCCCGACCACACCCCCTTAAAGGGCCAGCGCCGCTGCGGGCCCATTGCCCCCGCCCCGCAGCCGGCGGGGCTAGGGGAGGGTTTGGCTGTCAGGGTCTTTGAAGTCTGTCTGTCCACCACCCTCTTTAATCTTCCTGCTCCAAACCCAAGCGTTCTGAGCGCGCGCGCTACCAGGATTTCCTCCCCCGCAGGGACCGTGGTGTTCGGTCCCCATTGAGGCAGGAATGGGGCCGTCTGGGTTGGAGGGGAGTGGGCACTGTGTGAGGGGCAGGGGTCCGGGGAGGAGACACCGGGGTCCCGACGTCTGGTCCTCCGGTCCTTGGCCAGCGAGGGGGGAGCGAGTTTCTCCGCGTGGACCGACGCGTGGACCCGGCTCCCCGGCTTCGAGGAGGGAGAAGGCAGGCAGGAGCTGCCCGGATCCCCGATCGCTCTACCCGACAGGGTCCCACACCCACTACGGAGGAGACAGGGATGGGGGGTGGACGCAGGCGGCCCAGCCGCCGAAAGGGCCAGACCCCAGGCAGCCACCGCCCACCGGCCAAGATGGCGGCGGAAAGCGGCACCTTGGGAAGTGTAGTTCGCGGGGCCAGTCCCGCATGGCCGCCCCTACGCCGGCGGTGCTGGGGCCGGAAAGCTCCGAACTTGTTTCAGGCGCCCTCCTAGGGCCGGCCTCGACAGGGCAAGGCCCTCTGCATCCCGCAACCCATTTGCGTACAAACAAGGAACCTCAGGCGAAGAGCTGGGACGCGGCTGAGCCGAGACTCATGATAATAAAAATAATAACAGCTGATCCCTTAGTGAGCGCTTATCGTGAGCCGCACCCAGCCAGTTCTAGCGTGAGGGCCTCACATTCGCTGTCCCCAGATCTTCATCCTGCGGCTCCTTCTGTCCTTTACGTCTCACTGATGTCTCTCAAGCTGACTTACCCTGTTTGATTTTCTGTGTCTTTAAATTGTCTCTCATTCTTTTTTTTTTTTCTGTCTCCCACCTCTAGACTGTGAGCTCCATGGTGCCTACTTGTCCCGCCCCTTGGCTACTGCTCATGCCTGGGGTTGAGTCGGTCTACTCGGCCTCAGG